AATAAACTTAAAACAATGAAGGCTTCTTAGCTAAGGCTGAGATTTATAGAGTCGACTTAGGTCGAAATTTTTTGCAAATATTTAGAACGTGCCTAAGCCAAATTACTTGCTTAGCGTTTCACTTATATGTAAATCGGACCAGAAGGAGCGGACACTTTCAATAATTTCCTTTTTTAATTATTTTGATAATGTTAATAAATTTATCTATCTTTCTAAACGTAACTTATAATATTTTTTGTGTCTTATTATAGACATTTTGACCAATCTTTATAATATTATATGATGAAGTTAACATTTTCTAATTCTGAAATTTATTTGCCAAGATAAAATATAAAAACTAAATACAATATAATAATTTCCCCAAAATAGCTTCAAAACTCTGTTTTTTTTTTTAGTTCACGATTTTTAGATCTTTAACGCCGGTCTTTTTTAAATATAAATCTAATTTTTACCCTTTTGAATCGAATTTCGAATTTTGTCTTAATAGTTACTTAGTAGTTAGTTAATCTTAAAAACTTCATTCCTTATTTCTTCACCCGTAGGGGTGCAATTATTTCTTATACACGCTGTGGCGTTAAGAGATGATATACCTTTAACTACTACAATATAACTGTTCAGAAAACAAATAACCGTACCCAGTAAAAGTGTCCAGCTTCCGAGTTATAGGACATTTACAAAATTTTCAATTTTTTTTACTCTTGTCTAATCTTTTCGGTGCCAAGATCACAAATGAAGGAATTTTCTCGACCTTTTTTGCAGCATTTTTTAATAGCTATACTATCAAATACTGTCTGTCACTTTCGTGCCACATTTACAGTTTTTTTAAAGAATATTTTTCAAAATAATAATGTAAATTTTTATCAAAAGTAGAGAGCATTATACAATTAGTGTGCCGCGCTACCGGACTAATTGCATGTGCAGTCCACCAATACGCACTATAATGCTTGTTAGTGGAATTCACATGTCTCCAAATGTCATTGATTTCCTGTAGTCTAGGTCTAAGACACTGCCAATAAACTAGTAATACCTGGGACGGGGACTGCTACTTACTCTATATAAAGAGCAAGTCCGTCTTGCATTGAGTACTGCTGCCTTATCGAATTCCTTAACGAAAAGCCTAATTGATAACCTTAATATTACTAGTCTTCCTTCCACCATAAGACAACCAGACATTCACCAGTCACCATCCATTTGTTGTTAAAATAACATCACGCATTCGAACCAAATACGAGTAGTTTGTTTCATCGTTCATAATGCTTTCCGATTACAATGTGGATGATTTCAAGGCAGAGTAGGTTTTTCTTCAACTGTGCAATTTACCATCTTTGGCGACGTCACCACTTAACGTCAAGTGGGGTAGTACAAAATGTAACGAACCCCCCCCCCTCTTTTTTCTTTTTTTTTTCTTCTATATATCCACTTATACTTGTATTTCTTTAGAATCTATATCTGTAGGATATATAAATATATCTAATTTATGTGACCAGTATACCTGATCTATCTAAAGGTTTAATTATAGGCCGTTTAATAAATTTATGGCGTGATCGTCTTAGTTAGGACCCTTTTTTACGTTGTGTTTGTTGTAGTAAATTAGTTCTTTTAGGTGTATCTTGGAAGAATGAATATTCACGAGAGCAATCGAAAGCTGTTTGTAGACTCTTATAAGCTAAAGAACCCCGTTCACGAAGACAGAGCTCAAAAAGGTTAAGAACAATAAATTGTCCCTATTCCACTTGTATCTGGTTCACAACAGTCAATTCCTTATTAATTAATCCCTTCCCGCTTGGAAAAGGCTCACAATATTTATATCAAATACCAGCTACACGGGTTTCGCTCTCCCACATTTTAAAAAAAATGTGTAGGAGATACACGGCTCCGCAACCGCCGCGCACTATGAGCGCCAACCATTTTAATGCGCTGCCCCCGAAGGGTACGCTAAGTTGGGAACTGGACTGTAGTCCACACACAGCAAAATAACTGGCGAACCAGTAAAAGAGGACTTGGCCCCTTGACAGTGCGTAAGCACAAACATCGACCGAAGTCGCGCATGTCAATGCGTGTAAACGCCATACAGAATACGATCAAATCCAGCCACAGTGAATGTACGTCACACGGGTTAGGCAACAATAGGCACACTGGCCATAAAAAGCCTTCCGTGAGCGCCACCACCTGCCAGACCGCCGTTCCTGCAGACGTGATGTAAGTGTAAGGCATCATCACCAATTGCATGGTCAGCACGGCCAATCGGCCGCAGAGCGTGTCATGAGTCTACCGCTCACCTCAAGGGAATGCGGTCCCACGTTGCGCGGATTTCGGCCGCAGCCTTGAGAGCCTCCTCAGATTCTCCCTCCAGCTACCACCCGCATGAGGTCGACACATATGCTCCACCAACCAATACAATGGCAGATATAGCCAATAGTCAGTTATAAGATATTAGTAATAATTCGCTGACGTTGAGTATATGCATTTTTCGATCATGTTTGTCTCACCCACCAACAAGTTGCCTTCAATCTTTCAAAGGTGGGAACTTTATAGAGATATAATAATATGTTGTTATATAAAACATCATGGAGGGCAGACAGTGTGTAGCCCCGCAATGAAGGGACCCGACTTGGGCAAAGCTACTTAGGTTGTGAGTCAAACCAAGACGCAGAGAGCGCCATTGAGAATAGCGACCCGCCAAACAACCATCGCAGAGACGCAATGCTGCAGAATGCAACAAGCATCAATACGACTAGTCCCAGTAGACATCACCACCCGCATACCTCCATCGACCAGAACCACAATCGAATCAGGTGCAGCACACCCGCAGATCCATCACAAGACACAATACTGCAAGTAGCAGTAAGCATCAGTGCAACTATCATACGGATGGCGCCCCCTCACAATACACTCACATGATCCGTATCGACTTTGGTAACAAAATTGATAATGTTGTTAACTAAAAATACCACCAACGTATCATAGGGAACACTCAATATAAGGGAACATTACAAGAACACGTTCATCAACTTAGAAAATTTTGATCCATTCTTTCTATTATATTACAAATGTTACTTATTTTTGTTATTGCAATATAATCGACTTGTATTTATATCATTTGATACATTTTGAACATTTTAAGCAGGTTTTTTAATAAATTTGGAGATTTTTAGAGACATTTTATGTTTACTAATATTATAATATTCAATATTCCAAATGGATATTTTTGATTTTTATGCTTATTATTTGCATTAAATTCTTTAAAATATAATTTCTATGACATTTCTAAATGTTTTTATTTATTAATTTTAATTATGAGGCGTCACAATCCACCCCCAAATTTTATGTTAATGATCCACATAGTGGAGTCGTTAATATAAAATTTTAGTATTTTGAGAGCATATACACTACACTCAAATAATTGTTTATATATCTGTTCTTTCCTCTTTTAATCTGTTACAATACAGCATATGTTATCAAATCCCCCTACCCCAGGGAATGGCCGCCACCAACACCCCTTCAACCACAATTATCACAATGTGATAACACCATAATACAAGTTATTGTATATTGTGTTGTTAATAAAGTTTGCAGTCAATTGTCGATTTCTTATTTTATTAATTTATCTTTAAATCTTTGAAACATTATTTCGATAGTGCCACACTTTATGGGCATACAATCCAGTTGGATATTTGTTGAGGTCAGTTCGATACCACATGGGATAAATGTGATTGAGCCATTCAACCTGACCCAACTCCCATATTTATTTAATAAAAATGATTACAAATTTATCTTACGATCTTTATTTACTACTCTTCATTATTTATTAATAACGTTCTTCTATCATATAACAAATCTCTTGCTTAAAAAACTTAAAAAACTTTAATAATTTTAGACCTTTACCTTAAACAATTATTTCAATTGGCCACCCACAAAACCCTTTTATGTTACAATATTTATATAATTACTCTAATTTATACAAAAAGAAATTATTATTTAAAATATTTTAATAAGTGAATAGCATTGAAAATTCCTCTAATTTCGTTTGTCTCTGGATTTGTTAAGGTATATACATTGTCAAATGGTACAGCTGCTATTACATGAGGTCCTTCATATGCCAAATTGAACTTACCCATGACTTTATTATCAGCGTCTGATCTACTAGATCTTGAAATTTTTACTAAATCACCAATATTATGTTTTATTAATCTATTTCGCTTATCAAATTGTGTGTTTCTTATTCGACTTGCCTCTTTTAAATTTTTACGCACTTGTTGTCTAATTTGTTCGACATTATGTTTGTCTTTACTTTTGGAAATTACTTTGTCAAAAGACATCTCATTAGACTCACCATAAAGAATCTCACAAGGCGTGAAGCCTGTACTATTGTGATAAGAATTATTATACAATTCTTTAATTTCGGCAATATTAACGCCCAATCTTTGTGGTTAGTGTGACAAAGCGTCCTAAATAATCTGCTGAACTCTTTATGTACTCGCTCTGTTGTATTTGGTCTAGGATTTCTAACTGTGGTATATATTGGCTTTATATTTAAATCTCTCATTGATTGTTTTCAGTGATTACTTATGAACTGTTTTCCATTATCTGTCATTATTGCCTTGGGCTTTATAATCTCAACAAAATGCTTTACTTTTGTTACAACAGACTTTGCTGTTGACTGTTTTAAAGGATATAATTTGATAAATTTACTAAATGAATCTTGAATGACAAATATGAAAGTGTACCCAAAGGTACCTGATGCAAGTGGTCCATATAAGTCTGCCATGACTATATCGCCAATGTTTTCTGTTATTATAGATTTGCAGGGACCCACATATGTTATATTGCTTTTCTTAGATAACTGACATAAATGACAGGCCCTTAATTGGTTTTTAATATCTTTTGTTAAACCTTTCCAAAATAATCTGTCTCCCACATATTTAATTACCTTATAGGGTACCTTTACCTTTACCTTGATGACCCATTTCGACATACACTTGATTTACAATATCTTGTCTCTATGCTTTAGGTAAATATATTACTTCTTGTAAATTCGTTTTGTAATATAATACATCATTTTTCAAATTATACCTTTTCAATTTATTGTTTTGTTTTATTATGGAAGTATTTAATGTCTTTGGCTTTTCAATAATAGCCAACGACACTGAATCTTGTAATTGATATACTGATAAGGATTTAAATTTTTCTATCAACTCAATATTCGGTTCGCCCTCTGTGTAAGCAATTTTTAAACTATTATTTTTATCCTCTTGTATTAAATCGCCATCAGGAGGATAACTTGATAGCACATCTGCAACAATATTACGTCTACCCGATATATGCTGTACTTCATAATTAAATTGTTCTATATACAAAATCCATCGGGTTACTCTGCCATTGAATAACTTCATATTATTAATAAACAATAATGCTTTATGATCAGTTAATATTAATACTTTACTGCCCCTCAAATATGTTTCAAATTTCTTTAGGCAGCTTATTACAACATAAAACTCTTGTTCAGTAACAGACCAATTTAATTCGGGGCCTTTTAAGGCTTTACTTTGATAGCCTAAAATTCTCATTTCATTATTATCATCTATCTGATATAGTACTCCGGCCATACCCACACCGAAACAATCTGTTTGTAAATAATACGGCTTACTAAAGTTTGGATGATGCAATTGTATTGTATTAATAAATTGTTGTTTTATAAAATCAAATGCCTTCTGTTCTTTACCGCTCCATTGGAACCTACATACCTTTTTAAGTAATTCACAGAGTGGTATTATGCTCTCGCTGTAAGTTGGTATAAACCTTCTATAAAAATTGCATAGACCTAAAAAGGCCCTTAATTGTTTAATCTTTTTAGGTGCTGGAAACTCTTGGATCGCTCGAATCTTATCGGGATCTGTCTTTATGCCTTCCGTTGCAATTATAAAACCCAGCATTTTAATTTCTTTACAAATAAATTCACATTTCTGCAAGTTGCACGTTAAGCCAGCTTTATTCAATTTACTTAAAACAATATCAATGTGCTCCAAATGTTTATCTAACGTTCCTCTTGTAATAATGGCTAGATCGTCTAAATAGTTCACACAAAATTCTTGGACTTCTGATCCTAATATTAAATTCATGGCTCTGCTAAAGCTTCCGACTGATGTTTTTAATCCTTGCGGCAGAACATCATATACATATTACATTATATACTTTCCATTGAATGTGAAACCAGTATATTTTCTACCATCTTTATTTATCGGAATTTGAAAATATGCATTATTTAAGTCAATGGTAGTGATATAATTCGCTCCGTGAAATGAATTCAAAACATCTAATTGTATAGGTGGTTTCTCTGTTTCTGCAACCATTTTCTTATTTATGCTTCTGGCATCAAGTAGAACTCTAAATGAGCCATCTTTTTTAAGATTGAATGTCAATGGACTACTGTAAGGCGTTGATGTCCTTGTGATGATACCAGCTTGTTCCATTTCATTTAACTTTTCTTCCATTTTCGCTCTATATGCATATGGAATGGGATAGGACCTAGTAACTATAGGTTCATCATCGATCATTTCAATTTTATGCTCATAGCAATTGGCTCTTCCCAATTTGCTCGAAAAGATATTCTTATGCTTTTCCAAAACCTTACTAAGTTTTGCCCTTTCAGAGACCTCCAATGTAGATCCTATTTTTATATTTGTTAACGGATCATCGGTACATTGTTCGATGCAGTTATTATGTAATACAGATTTTATTATTATATTTGAAAGGTATAAAGTAGTCTTTGTTTTTTACTTTAAATTCTATTCCAACAGTAGTATTTCTCAATTCAATCAATATTTTATTTCTCTTGAGCCAGTAAAAGCCTAATATTAAAGGTCTTATTAAATTACTTACAATTTAAGTTTGTGTTTCAAAGACTACTTCATCTAACTTTATAGGCAATTTGATCATCTGTTGTATTTTTGTGCTGCGCTGCCCAACAGCACCTTTCATTTGCATTGCTTTAACTGGCATTATTGATATTTTACGATTATTATTTTTAATTTGTAAATATAAACTTTCTGAAATGCATGTAACATCGCCCCCAGTGTCGAGGAGTGCGTCTATTTCTTTGTCAAATATTGAAACCTTAATTTCAGATCTCATATTCCCTATAAATTCCCTTTGATATTTATCTTCGTCTTCCTCGAAGACGGTTTGCACGAATAACTCCGTTATGAGCAAGTCCGACCTGGCTTTTAAGGTGTTTAATATACTATTTACATTGTCGTTATAACCAAGGCCTTCCCTGTTAAAATTTGCTTTTAAAATAATAGGTTTTCACAACCCTCTATAGTTTTTACCCAGTGTTTGACCAGGTCGCCAACCCAGTTTTAATAACATATTTAATGCTTTGTTCCCTTTTACATTGTAAGGGGTCGAATCGGGAAATAGTTCGACCTCTACAGCTCTAAATTTGGCTCAGGGGCCGTAACATCAGATTGGTCATTGGTGAAATGTATTTCATGTACTTCATTAACCTTCTTTTTTCCCTCTTCGGGCTTACGCCATGTTTTGTATGATTGTTGTATTTCTTTATGTTTTTGCTTCGTATTATCATTAAACTTTCTCCTTTTCTCATTATAGTAAGGTTCACGACCTTCATCTTGTTTGTCGATGTCATCTAAGTTACTTAAGAAATCTGTCGTGTCTATTATTGTCTCAATTTTAGCTATTCTCCATAATTGCTGCACAGTTTTAGGATAATGTCTGATGACATCAGTTACTAATTGTTTTTCAGGTATCGGATATAATAATGTTTGTGCCTTCTCAACAACATAAAGAAAATAACTAACCGTGGTGGGGTCTGTACTTCTATTCCATTTATTTTGCACAAGGAATCTCTTTACTTTATTTTGTTCTTCTTCACCCCAAAATACTCTTAGAAAGTTAGCTTTAAAATCATCAAAGTTGTCCAACGCACATTATTAATGCGAGCCCAATACTTGGCTTCTCCTACTAAGCACTCTTGTGCTATCGAAATTTCGAGACCATTAGATGGAACTTTCTTTGAATAATTGGTGAGATCTTCCAAAAATGATACTGGATGAGTATTTCCATTTCCAAATTTCGGCTTTTCTATTGTTACATTATGTACATTATATACAATATTTTGTCTAGGATCATTTACATGAGAGGTGCTCGCCCCGGACTCTCCTTGATTTATTTTAATTTGGTGACCTTTCGTTTGGTTAATAAATTTTTCCTCAAGATCCTTTATTTTAACCTCAAAGGTTTTCACTGCATTCTTAATTAATTTCTGAAGCATTTTCATCTCATCTTTAGGCTTAGCCTTAATTGAGGTTGATTTTTTTCTTATTTTTAGCCGTTTTTAATTTTTATTTCCACTTGTTTTTTTTTTCACTTTTTGTGTCCTTCACTTACTTTAATTGAGTTTTTCCACTTATTTCACTTTATAATAGTATTTAATTTTTTTTACACCTTTTGTGTCCTTCACTTAGTTTAATTGAGTCTTTCCACTAATTTCGCTTTAAAATATTATTTCGCTCCGTTATGCACACACCTCCCATATTACTACTCAATTTTAATATTTAAGCCCGACCCCCAGACTCTCAACCACCCCCAGCAACACCACTCTCCAAGACACCTCTCCATATCACGGACAATAAATTGTAGACATATAGCCTACCTCATAATTTTATATTACCGGCTTCCTATTTAAAATTTAACCTCTATCCTGGTCACGGCACCAAATTGTAACGAACCCCCCCCCCTCTTATTTTTTTTTCTTCATATATCCACTTATACTTGTATTTCTTTAAAATCTATATCTGTAAGATATATAAATATATCTAATTTATGTGACCAGTATACCTTGATCTATCTAAAGGTTTAATTATAGGCCGTTTAATAAATTTATGGCGTGATCGTCTTAGTTAGGACCCTTTTTTACGTTGTGTTTGTATAGTAAATTAGTTCTTTTAGGTGTATCTTGGAAGAATGAATATTCACGAGAGCAATCGAAAGCTGTTGGTAGACTCTTATAAGCTAAAGAACCCCGTTCACGAAGACAGAGCTCAAAAAGGTTAAGAACAATAAATTGTCCCTATTCCACTTGTATCTGGTTCACAACAGTCAATTCCTTATTAATTAATCCCTTCCCGCTTGGAAAAGGCTCACAATATTTATATCAAATACCAGCTACACGGGTTTTGCTCTCCCACATTTTAAAAAAATGTGTAGGAGATACACGGCTCCGCACACGCCGCGCACTATGAGCGCCAACCATTTTAATGCGCTACCCCCGAAGGGTACGCGAAGTTGGGAACTGGACCGTAGTCCACACACAGCAAAATAACTGGCGAACCAGTAAAAGAGGACTTGGCCCCTTGACAGTGCGTAAGCACAAACATCGACCGAAGTCGCGCATGTCAATGCGTGTAAACGCCATACAGAATACGATCAAATCCAGCCACAGTGAATGTACGTCACACGGGTTAGGCAACAATAGGCACACTGGCCATAAAAAGCCTTCCGTGAGCGCCACCACCTGCCAGACCGCCGTTCCTGCAGACGTGATGTAAGTGTAAGGCATCACCACCAATTGCATGGTCAGCACGGTCAATTGGCCGCAGAGCGTGTCACGAGTCTACCGCTCACCTCAAGGGAATGCGGTCCCACGTTGCACGGCTTTCGGCCGCAGCCTTGAGAGCCTCCTCAGATTCTCCCTCCAGCTACCACCCGCATGATATGCTCCACCAACCAATACAATGGCAGATATAGCCAATAGGCAGTTATAAGATATTACTAATAATTCGCCATCAGAAAGGGTTTGTGTCCCTAACGTTGAGTATATGCATTTTTCGATCATGTTTGTCTCACCCACCAACAAGTTGCCTTTTAAATTTTTATTTCTTCATCATCATCTTACTTCAATTTTTTATATAAAACCGTAAATATCTTTTTAAATTTTACATAAATTATTTTTTTTTTGTTCTATTTTTGTTGTTTCGTTGTTGTTAGGTTAAGTTCTTTTGTTTTTAATTGTCGCTTTACGACATTTTTGGCGCCCAACGTAAAAGTTCTCTTTCTCTCTTATTTTTTTTTCTTTTTTCTTCGCCTTTTCTGCGCCTTGTCCATTTCCTTTTGATTTAATTGCTTTCTCTTTCGTTCTTAACTCTTTATTTATTCATCCTTTTCATATCTTCAAAATTCTAAAACAAAACTTCATCTAGTTTTTCAACTTATCTGGATTATATTTAGACCTACATTTAACACTTCACTTACATTCATCACTTTAATATTTTTATTCTAGATAACTTAAAGAGGAATAATTTTTAATTAAATTTTTATTTGTTAAACTTAACTTTGCACTTAATTATAACAATGAAAAGGGTTATTAAGTACGAATTCCTTAACAAGGTCGAACTCGAATACGAAGTGAAGATTAGATGTGAGGAACCAGCTAATACTGTTTTGCTTCTAAAAAAACAGGTTTTGCGTTTAGTTGCGAATTCTCACCCTGAAGATATTCTGACTTTTCCAATTCCGATCGAGGATGACTTGTCTCAAATTGGTTCTACTTTGACCTACCTGGACCGTAAAATTGAAAAAATTTTACAAGGTGAAACCAAATACTTACGACTAATAGAAACTTTTATTAAACATGTTTTTTTACAGATTGGAGCGAATAGATAGTGACTTATATCCAGACTTTAAAGCTATTTTCGATACTTTGAAGATGAAATTTGACGATATTACTAAACAATTCGAATCCTTGACTCCACCTTCAACTGAAAATGACTCTCCATCACTTGACCCTCCTGTTGACCCGACTGTCATGGAACCCCCTCTTGTTTCTCAAACTTCTGTTCAGATCCATACCCCGTATCCTTCACCACCACCTCAATCTTTTTCTCCAACTAACGTCTTCAAAGATCTGAAAAGACACATCTTCAATGGTAAAAGCTGTCCAAGATCCTTTCTTCAAAAACTTGAAGAATACTGCTTAGCTCGTGGCTTGTCCAAAGACTTGTTGATTTCTCAAGCGTTCGAAATTTTCACCGACAATGCTCTTCATTGGTTCAGATTTAAATATAATCAGAATCCAAACTAAACTTGGAACGAACTTTCTTCTTTATTAATCAAAGACTTTGGTGGTTTTGATTATGATCATAAACTTTTTAGAAGCGATTAGGAATCGAACTCAAGGTCGTGATGAACCTATCGTCATCTATATTTCCATCATGTCTGGAATGTTCTCTCGTCTTTCGAAGAAACTTTCTGAAACAGAAAAATTCGAGATTATTTTGAGGAATATTCGCCCATGTTATTCAGTCTTCGTAGCTCTAAAAGACATTGACTCTATCGACTCTCTTCTGGCTACTTGCCAAAACTATGAAAAGTTCCTAGACAGAGACAAACAATTTAAAGAACCAAATGTACAATAAAGTCCTCTTATTTCTGAATTCAACTACAAGCATTCCACTTCAAGTTCAGTTGACTCTCCAAATTCTTCTAATAAGTCACGACCTTCTCCTCCCTTCATGAGTAAATTCACTTCATCCTACAAATACCTTTCTAAACAAGTTAATAGTCTCACTCAAACTAAAGCTCCTCAAGAAAGCTCTTTTTGTGTTCGCTGTCGTAAACAAGTTCATACTTTGAACACTTGTACTCAACCACGATTCGTGATTTGTTTCAAATGTGGTCTTAAGGGTTTTAAAACTCCAGATTGCCCTACTTGTTCTCCTAAACCTAATACTAGTTCAAAAAAACTAACTGCTGACTTGAAAAGTAACTTAAACTTTGATAATGACGATTGGACTAATTGGATTAAAACAATTCAAAACTTCTTTTCTTGTTACAAAATCTCTTCTATACTCTACTCCAAAGAACAAGATCTTAATCGTACATTCGTTAATGTCAAAATTTATGACTTAACTTTATCTGTTTTACTAGATTCTGGCAGCTCAGTAACTATTCTGGGTAATAATTCTCATTTGGAACTTCTTAAACTGGGCTGCAAACTTCTCAAGTGAGATCTTATTACTGTCTCTACTGCTAATAATCAAAAAGTTAATTCCTTGGGTTATTTTGACTTACCTGTTCATTTCAATAATCAAACTCATTTGATTAAAGCTTATGTTTTCCCTGAAATATTTCCTTCGCTAATACTAAGTATTGACTTTTGGAGAAAATTTAATCTTTTACCTAGTGTTTTATCTTCTCTTAACTTTACAGAATCTAAATGCTCTGCTATCGAAACTAAAGATATTAAAGTTTTACTTTATGAGCATTTAACTCCTAATCAAAAGAACATCGCTAATGACATCATCCAACGCTTCAAGACAATTTCTTTTGAAGAAAAAGGTATCCTGGGAAGCACACACTTAATCACCCACAAGATTGACACTGGTGATTCTCTTCCAATCAAACAAAGATGTTACAGACTGTCTCCTGAAAAACAAAAGGCGTTAATTAATGAAGTTGACAAGATGCTGAGATGGAACGTCATTGAACAATGCGAAAGTCCTTGGTTATCTCCAGTTCTCATCACTCCGAAGAAGAATGGTGAATGGCGTTTCTGCGTAGACAGCAGGAAGCTTAACTCAGTTACACGTCGTGATGCTTATAGTCTGCCACTAATAAGCGAAATTTTGGACAACCTGAGGAATGCCAAATACTAATCAAGCATCGACATAGCGAAAGCATTTTGGGAGATTCCCTTGAATCCTGCTGATAAAGATAAAACTGCATTTTATGTACCTGGAAGAGGTATGTTTAGATTCAAGGTAATGCCTTTTGGTCTCACTAACTCACCTACAACTCAGCAAAGATTAATGGATATGCTTTTTACTCCTGAATTTGAGAACAAGATATTTTGCTATCCGGATGACATCGTTATTATTAGCGAGACTTTTGATGAACACATATCACTTCTCATGAAAGTTCATGAAAAACTTTCATATGCTAATCTGACTATTAACTTTGAGAAGAGTCAATTCTTCAGGAAAGAACTGAAATACCTTGGTTTTCTAGTGGACGAGTATGGTCTACGTGCTGATCCAGATAAAATAAAAGCTATTTTAGAATATCCTGTACCTACTTGCAGAAAAGAAGTACGAAGATTCATAGGCACCTGCAGCTGGTTCAGAAGATTCATTCCAAACTTTAGCACTATTGCCTCTCCACTCAACCAACTAACCTGTTCCGGGAAGAACGCTCGAAACTTAAAGAAGCTTTGGTAACTGCTCCTATCCTTGCTTGCCCTAACTACGAACTACCCTTCTCCGTACATTATGATGCATCAAATTATGGCATAGGAGCAATGCTTACTCAACATCAAGATGACAAAGAAGTCGTGATTGCTTACATGAGTAAAGCACTAAACAAAAATCAACAGAACTACTCAACTACTGAAAGAGAAACATTGGCTGTAATAACTGCGTTAGAACATTGGCGATGTTACCTAGACAATGGTAAAGAATTTACAATATATACTGACCATGCTGCACTTAAATGCTTTCAGAATTTATCGAATCCATCAGGAAGACTTACTCGCTGGACTTTACGCTTATCATGCTTTAACTTTGTCCTGAAACATAAAAAAGGAAAGGATAACGTTGTTCCAGATTTATTATCAAGACATAAGAACCAAGAACGTCCTGATACACGAGAAACTTCACCTCAAGGCGTACATCCTATTACGATTGAAGAACTACCTGATCGTAAACTTGAGCACTACAACAAGATTTTTCTCGGATGCTCCAACAACCCAGACGCATATCCCAACTACACTATCACGAATGCAGCTGCATCCATTCTCCCGATCGTCTAAACGATGACTTTATTTGGAAAGAAGTTCCACTACCTCAAGATAGACATGCACTTATTGAAGTTAGCCATGGTTCCCCTTCAGAACTCCATCTTGGTATTTTCAAGACATTCAAGAAAATATCTTTAAAATACTATTGGCCTGGTATCTTTAAGGAAATTGCCAATTTAATCTCGACTTGTGAAACCTGCTTAACCTACAAACACCCAAATCATTCTCCCTATGGTCTTATGGGTAAACCTAAACTTTGCTCCAGACCTTTTCAAACTATATCCTTAGATCTTATGGGTCCATTGCCTATGACGCGAAGACGAAATCAGTATATTCTAGTAATTAACTGCAATTTTACTAAATATACTATGATTTTTCCCCTTAAACTTCCCCTTCAGCTAATATTATTAATGTTTTGGAAAATTCAGTTTTTCTAGTTCATGGCATTCCCCAAACTATTATATTTTTTATTTTATTTTATTTTATTTATTTATTTATTACAAACTATAGTTATTTAATAACATCCGACAGTACAAATAAACTTACAAAAGTTTTTCCATGTACCGCCAATTCGTAACTTCGATCATGTTCAATCGGTTCGCGTTGCGACAACTTATTTAATGACGTATATAAATGCTGTGACAAAATAGCAAGATGTTTTTTTTTATCTAGGTGTATACCAATATATGACAACGTTGTTCAATTTCAGTCGCGAGAATTCCACTCATTCTTAAATTCTTATAACGTTCCTTGTATTTTTCACACAGCTTTATATTGTCCTCAGGTTAATCCTACGGAGAAGTTTAATAGTACAATTATTACAGCTCTAGCATCTCTAGTAGGAGACGATCATAGATCCTTTTTTTTTTTTTTTTTTGCGGATGGAAAATCATCTAATGACGCCTTTCGCTGTGGGTGGAGCGGAAGGGAGTGTCAGACTTTTACTGACTAAAAACCATCCGTGTTCCTTCAGTGCCCTTACGTTCCGGAGCCGCGGTATCTCTTTCGAACAGCCCGCAGCCCCGGCAGGCGTCGGCCCTTGCGGGCCCCTTCACGCTGCTGACAGCTCTTTGAGGCGCGCGTGGAACAAAACGCGCCGTCGACACGGCCTGTCGTCGTTAGACGGACGGACGGCGAGCTACCCATTGCTCGCCGTCCACAGGCCCGCGCCTACGGTGGTCGGGGGCCACGACGTAGCCCCCGACGCCCGGGGCGTCTCCCGCGGCGGCCGGGAAGGAAAGCTGTTGCTCTTTCCTTCTCCCGCTCCGCCACCTCCTTCGCTAGCATCACTGCTTCGCAGAAGGTGGTGACGGCATCCCATTCCGTCTCGCTCCGGACCATGGCTTCGACCAGAGCCGGACGCGAGAGGTCGCCGCCGCCTATCGCCGCTACGAGGACACGGCGGTGCTCCGCCCAAGCAGAGCACACCTCCACGGTGTGCTCCACCGTTCGATTCGGTGCAGGAACCTCCCGAACACACCGTGTCCGGTGAGGACCTGCGTCAGGCGGAAGGTGAGGACGCCGTGGCGTCTCTCAAGCCACTCCTCAAAGAGGGGTCTTATCGCCGCTATAGTGGCGTGCCCAGCACGGGGTTGCGACAGTCGCTCTCTCCATGTCGCCATGAGATCATGCTGGAAGTCTGTCCGCTGCGCGACAACTTGCCGCGGCAGCGGGGTTTCCCCCCGGCATAGTGCTGCCGCGCGCCATTCGTGCAGGCGCGCGAGGACTATCGCCTCCAGATCCCATGGCGGCAATCCGGCAAGGAGGCTCGCCGCCTCGCGGGAGATCGTGCGGTAGCCGCGAACCATCTTTACGGCAACCACCCTTTGGGGCGCGTTTAGGTGGTGGACGGCAAGCCGCGCCAAATCACGCGCCCACACCGGGGCCCCGTAAAGGGCCATGGACCTCACGATCCCCGCGTAGAGCCTCCGGCAGGAGGCGTTTGGCCCCCCCAGGTTCGGCAGGAGCCGCCTGAAGGCAGCCCCGGTCCGTTCCAGTTTGGGAGCCAAACGTCGGAAGTGCTCAACGAAGTTCCATCGGCCGTCGAGGACGAGTCCTAGGTACTTCAACGTCGACTCGACGCCGATGGATACCCCTCCTACCATCACTGAGGATCCCGGTGGTGGCCTGTTCCGAGGACCATGGAAGTGCATGGCCTCGGACTTGTGCAGAGCCACCTCGAGACCCAGTTGCCGGATCCTCTCAACGACTATCGCAACCCCGCGTGTCATAGTTTCCGCCGCCGCCTCGTACGACCCCCCTTGTGCCAGTACCAGCGTGTCGTCAGCGTAGCAAACTACGCTGACGCCGGTAGGGAGGTCGGCGCGCAGCACCCAGTCGTAACCGATGTTCCACAGGGGCGGCCCCAGAACCGAACCCTGTGGGACACCGCACGACATCTCTCGCCGGTTCCACTCTCCGTTTCGACCGGGGTAGATGACGGCCCTGTCCGTCAGATAGTCCCCGACTATACGACGGAGATAGGTCGGCACCCGGTGATACCGGAGTGCCTCCCTAATGCAGCTCCAGGGCATGGAGTTGAAGGCGTTGGCGATGTCGAGAGACACCGCCAAGACAACCCCCCCCCCTGGCCACTGCATCCCCCGTCGTGAGGGCTCTCACGCGCATGATGGCGTCCACCGTAGAGCGCCTCTTGCGGAAACCAAACTGGTGTTCCGCAAGATCCGGCCCCGTCCCCGCAAGGTGCTCGGCGAGGCGGTTTGCAATTACTCTTTCAAAGAGCTTGCCCACCTCGTCGAGCAGCACCACGGGCCGGTATGCGGACGGAGAGTCCGCAGGGCGCCCCGGCTTCCGAATGAGGACCAGCTTCCCCGTCTTCCAACGAAGCGGGAATTGGCCTCTCTCCAAGCATGCGCTTAGGAGCCCCTCCAGTCGGGGCCCGAGAGCCTCCGAGGCCAGGACCCAGGCTTTGCCAGGCAAGCCATCGGGTCCTGGGGCGGTATTCCTGGCCTTGAGCCTACGTACCGCCACTCTCAGGTCTACCCCGGTCCCTTCCGGGATGTCGTCGTCGTCGTCCTGGTGGTCCGCTTCCGGCACCGCAGGTGGCGGAGCCATAGGCGGGGGCGGATGTTCCCCGCGCGCAGGGAACAGAGCGCTCACCACATCCTCCACGAGCTGAGGGCGGAGACTCTGCGTCAGCGGGGGGGCCCAGGTGCGGAGTTTATCCCGCACGATCTTGTAAGGGCGCCCCCACGGATCTCTATCGAGAGTCTCCAGTATCTCCTCACGGGCCCGATCCCGGGCCCGCAGGACAGCCTCCCGGAGGGCGGTCTTTGCCGCTCTGTATCCCTCGTACAGCTCCGCCTCAATGGCTGCCGCATTCGGTGGACGAATGCGGAGCCTGCGATGCCTGGCGTACAGGTGCCGCGCGGCGACACACGCCTCGCGCAGAGACGTCAGCTCACGCGACCACCAATACACCTGACGCCGGGCGCTTCCTGGCCGGACGCGGGGCATTGCCACGTCACATATCTCGGACATGGCCTCCTGGAACCACCCTGCCTCATCATTGACGTCGGCAGGCCTGTCCGGTGATGACACCCAGGCCTGCACGATCGAGGCTTCCAGGAGGAGCTCCCGGTCCAGCTGCTTCAGCGCCCAACGCGGACCACTCGGGGCCTGTTGGACTGGCGCGCTCGAGGGCTGGGTGGAGACGTCAAACCGGATGTACCGGTGGTCGGAGTAGGTCTCCACCCCCTCCATGACACGCCAGTCAATGGCACGCGGCGACAGAGCGGGGCTAGCGAACGAAATGTCCACCACCGACTCGCCCCGCATCCGCACACACGTGGGGACAGAACCCCGATTTAGGACGACCAGGCCTGTCTCCAGAGCCCAGTCTTCCACCATCCTACCCCGCACATCTGTACGACGAGAACCCCAAGCCAAGTTCTTGGCATTGAAGTCCCCGAGGACAAGTACGGGGAGGGGATTACTTCCGACGACGACTGCTCTCAGCTCTGCAAGAGAGTTGTGAAACTCGGCGAGAGATCGGTTCGGGGAGAAGTACACCCCCACAACGACGAACTCCCCGAACCGTGCTGCTACGCACCCCTGACCCCTCCTGACACCTTCAAGGGTCGGGGTACCGGCGGCGGCTGAAGAAATGATGGCCACTGAGCCGTTAAGGTCCGCCACCCAGTCCTCCCTAGGCCAGACAAAATATGGCTCAGCGACCACAGCGATGTTGATCGACCACTGCGCCATGCTCTGGAGCAACAGATCCTGAGCGCAGGCGCAGTGGTTGATATTCGCCTGGAGGAAGCTTAATGGGGCCGTTATAGGCATTCCATTTCAGCTTCCTCCACGGGGCGCCTCTCTGCGGGCGTCGGTGTCGCGGCGGCGGCGGCAGCGACAGTGACAGCGGCGGCGGCGGCGGCGGCAGTCGCGACTGCGGCGGTGGCCACAGAGGCGGTGGCGGCGGAGGGCCCTCCCCTACCCGCGGCCTTGGCCTTGGCGGGTGGCACGCAGGCCCTGCTTCCGGCCCGGTGATCGGCTGGCTTGCCGGTCGCCGCACATGCATCACAGTGCGGCGTGGCGCAGCAGGTCGCCGATATGTGTCCGGGCTGACAGCAGCGGAAGCAAAGGCCACTGCGGTCAACCTCCGAGGCGCATTTCACAGATACGTGGTGCCCCACGAGACAGCGGTAGCACCTCAGAGGTCTGGGCTCCAGCAGCTTAACCTGCGCTGAGACCCAGCCCACCAGAAGCCTTCGGCCCTCCACTATGGTTTTGGCCGCCGTAACAGGGCAGCACACCGTGGCGGCATGCATACCCTGTTGGTCCGGGCGTATGGCGCCTGACCTGACCTGGTCAGTAGTGCACCCCCCGGACCTGGCGACAGCGGCCACTAACTCCTTCTCCGATACCGAGTCGTCCAGACCCATGATGCGCAGGTCTGCGCATCTGACGGGCCTGGACACTCGGGCCTCGTCCGCGTCCAGGGACGCTCTGAGCTTCGCAGCCAGAGCGTCCGCGGTCGCGCCACTGGA